TGATATTAAATGATAATGATAGTGATGGTGATGACAAAAGGTAAAAAGTATTTGTCCAATATTTTGGCTTGCAAAGCAAACCTATGGGGTATACAAGAACTCAAGAATATTCAGGATACAATCTCTCTCGACGGAATACAGCAAGTCCACGGTAAGGTTACTCCCAGCAACATTCCCGTTTATACACCTAGCTGGGTAAAGGGACGATACCGAGGATAACAACGCCGTTTCTTGTCTTAGAAACAACTTAACGCGTGGTAAGGATAGAACAAGGACGATCGCCCATGTATGGCCACTAGGACTGACCTCACCACGCCTCCCTCGGATACGTGTCCCGTGTTGATCATGAAAATTTTTTCAAGAAGTATTCACATTAATCATAAGACAATTTACAATTGGACGGATTAGGGTCTGCATAGGTGTCTAGAGTTGCAATACTGAACATTGGAATTGTAGGCTCTGTAACACTTAATCAAAGGCATTTACTGATAACTCTATTTTCTTGGCAGCTAAACACTAAAACGCGGACGTTTAGTTTTGAAGCAACAGAAGACTAAAAAATTTTTGCGAATGACAATTAACGTTCAGACTCCATCTAGAACGTATCCAGAACCTACTGGAAAAAGAAATATTAAAAAAAGTAAAACAAGAATCTTGTATTTTACTCTTTTTTTACGAAGTTCACTGAATTCTAAAAACCAGATCATTTTAGAAACGTACCGCGATGCCAATATCCTTAGTTCCACCACCACGCAACTAATCTTTTGAATATCGGACGGCCAAATGTCACACTTCTTCAAACGCAAAGCAGTTGACCTTTGTAAAGACCTTTTCATAGAGCTACGTATACCTCCTGCTAAAAACGTAAGGCCGAAATTAAACCATCTCCAGTTAGCTGATAGCTAAAGGAAGTAACTGATTGACTTATGTGAAGAAAAAGAGAAAGTCCCCCGCGTCAGAATTTATCATGCATCGTATCCTTTTACAGGCCGATCGTAAATCGAGTGACCATGTGATTTTCTTTGGTAGCAGCTCGATCGTTTGTCGTAAAGTCAGTCCCGGAGTCCGCGGTCCTCGCCCACATGATCAGATGCCTGATTTTTCTTATACAGGAAGCTTCGTCTCCTTCNTAAAAAGGCCTTAAACAGTGCCTAGGAGGTCTGAAATGCAGTCAGAATACAAAGAAAAACAAGAAGACGCTAAAGGTAAGCTTCAAAGCGATATTCAATGTACATTTTGCTAATTTAGTGAGCAAAGAATATTTCTCCATACAACGTCTTATAATTTTCTTGGTGTATGAATAATTAATTAGCTAAGTAGGATAATGTTGTTCAGGGCTCTCATAGTGAGCTTGGGCTACCTGTGCCGTAAGGCTTTTACAGGCTAAAACGATTTTTAGTCTTAATACAGGATTATGACAGGTGTGACATGTTGTTATGGGCCCAGTGGGCCTTCCCTCCCTTCTTTTTTCTCTGAAATCAGATGCTTTGTTCTTAAAAATCTATCGTCTAGAGGTCTAATTCCTGACGCTTACGGGAAGTGGTCGCTTACAAGAATTGAACCATGTGTCTTTATTGCAAGTAATGTCTAAGTTACTACATGTGTAGTTCCATGTTGTCACTAATAAAAGTTCCTCGTATATTGTAAGAAGCATAGGGCGCATAACGAACATAGAGATCAGAGAATGCGTCAAGTGGTCACTTGCAAGAGGTTAAAAACAATGGAAAATCATTAACCGTCAGGCCCAAAAAGTAGTCTGGGCCGCTTACAGGAGACGGTCGTTTACTAGAGATTCCAACTGTAAGGCTTTGACTGGGGAAATTTTGGTGTTTACGATAGGTGGTCGCACATGGAGGCTCGACCGTAGTCTGATATAGTCTTAGGCTCTTTTATTTATATCCGCGTGGAGCCTACATCCACTAAGGCTTCTAGCGAAGCGAGATCTCATTTTGACGTGCAGGCGCAAAAGACGGATACTGTAGAGGACGCAAGTTCTCACGGTCTTCAAGGACCTTCAAGGTGTCTAAGAGGGAGCCTTGGTATTAACATGGCTTATCACGTGATTGCTCAGCTGGAGTGGAAATTTCTAGCTTCAACAACGAGCCTTTTAAGAAAAAAACCTGCGGGCGTGGACAAGCCGCTATAGGGCTTACGAATGCCACTGTCGAAACTTGTTTTCAGATCTTCTACTTGCCGTCGTACGCGTCGTCGGTGCTAAAACTCTTTATTAAAGTATTACATCAAACTTCAAACATCGCAAAAAGCAATTTTTATTCTCCTTTATATAAATCTTTGAAAGAAAAACGTCTATTATCCTTGTAGAAAAAATGTCTCCTCAGTTTAAACATAAAAGTTATTGTGAGAACTGAAACGACATGGCTGCAGGTAGGTCAGAACTCTGGGATTTAATATGCTGTTTGATATGTTTTGTACTCGTACATACCTCAAAAACAAATGACTGTTCGAAAGCTGTACAAAGAAAGAGAAAACAACGAAAAAAAACTTACACGATGATGTTGGTCCTGATCAGAAAGCAGTAGACAAAGGATATAATTGCCGTTACATGGGGCAATAGCAATGTCTTTTGTGTAAGTTATTCTTTTCAAATCTTAAACATCTAATGATTATTCTCTGCAGGGGTAGTTATTAGGGAGTTTACAGCAGAGAACGATATTTCAGTGAAGACCTTGACTCCTTAGTCGGTTTTACCAGTTGATTCGGCTGTAAAGAAAAAAATTAAAAACCTTTGTTCAGAAATATAAGTGACTGCCAATATTCCCAGAGTGGGGTGCGGCGGGGTGGGGGACACCTAAGAGAAGTGTAGGTGAAGGTATGGGGCCCGGGCCTTCAAACCCCAACCCTGTTTAATTCAAGACAGAAATCGTTTATTTCGCCGCCTTGATTAAGACTCAAGACCCTATTTGACCATACTCTGTTCAGCGACTCATACCCGAAAAAGACAAATAGGGGAGTGTCTTCCCGGGGTAATATCTCATGTTTGAATAACTAGGATAAACTGTTTCCCGATTAGAAATTTTCAGCTTCCCTTGTGAGCTGACGTATAATCATAGTCACGTGACGTATAGCACATTGCAGGAAAATGGCAAAGAAATGTCAAATTTACTTTGTATGATTAATTAAACTAGCTTTTCTGACAGATGATAATCATACTTTACTTTCTAAGTTTGTAATGTACTTAAAGTTTGCAAATGAAGTTTTAAACAATTAAAGACTAAATGTTTTTCCTTTGAAACGCCATTGTCCTCTGCATGATTTTTTATTGAAACATTGAAGTGCAACTGGAAATTCATTTCAATATTTAATATGAATCAGAAAAATGTTATTGTTTGATTTCTATTTCTTAAACCAGACACCAATTTGCCAATTATTTAGGATCATCTTCAGAAAAACGTTTGTCAGGGGCGGATCCAGGATTTTTTTTAGGAGGGGGTGCACTTGTCTCTTGCTCTACTTCAATACCAATAAACCACATAATTTTTTTTTGGCAGAATACCAGTTGTATTAGAAAACCGCAGGTCATCTCAGGGGGAGGGGGAGGGTGCGCACCCCCTGCACCCTCCCCCTAGATCCGCCCCTGTTTGTGACACATCACTTGACTTGCTGAGACGATAGTAATATTTCAAGATGTTAACGACACTGAGGTCCTTCTGTTTACGACATTGTTCTCAACGGTGTTAAATTAGGGACCTAAGAATCCATGAAAATTCTTGAGGTTACACTGGATAAAAAGTTAACCTTTAGGATCATATATCAGGGCAACTCAAGAAAGCATATGCCAAATGTGCAGCGCTTATACGCAGTAGGCGTTTTCTTCCAATTGAGGTAATGATAAGTCTCTTAAATTCCTTTGTTTTGCCGCAATTAATTCACTTGAACCCGATCTAAGGAAAGGAAACCTATCCAAGTTTTGCGAAGTCGATTAAGAATAAATCCTTTTAATTCCATTTTCAATCTTGTATATAAGGGTTAGCTTTTATCTATTTATACGTATTCATAGCAATTGTTAGTCATCATAATTCTTATAGTGACATTTGCAGTTGTATATTTTAGTTTTCATGATAAATCTAGTTGTTCTATATATGTACATCTAATATATTTTTTGTTCTCTTAATTTAAAGACAATTTCATGTTAACAAGTACGTATTTTGAACGAGTTTTTAGCTCACTGGATAAATAAACGATTCATTGATTGCTTGATTGAACTAATCTAAAAACAAAAACAACTCTTTCTCTATAATTCTGATATTTTTCACGACATACCTTAGAGGTAAATGACAGTCCGGATGCTGTACAAAGAAAGAAAATAAAATTTAGAAAAACAATCAAATCCATGTCTTTTCCGTTCCAGAGAGCGAAAGATGCGACTAAGTTCGTCTTGCCAAAGAGGTGCTGATCATGACTGTCCCGCGATGACGGCATGTTTTGCTAAGGGGTACTTTGTAAGTGCAATCAAACTATCCACGGTTCCTTTTTGCCATGAACAAAGATAGAGAAGGGTGGCAATTTCAAAAAGTCAGGCAAGTTATTTTTAAAAAAATTTGTGTCATCGTGTCTAAGACAAACTTCTAAAAATGATTAGTTTCTGCTTTGATCCTTCCACTGATTCACTTGAAATCCAAGTCTTGATGCTTTTGGTGCACTCGTGGAAGTAATAAACTTACACGCTCTTGAACAAACTTATGGCAATAATTCATGTGACATAGTGCCTCTCAAACCTCCGGTCATTTTGCGATCTAGGCTGTCATGGCATTTATAGTAAAGAAGGTTTGTGACTTTAAGAAAAAAAGGGAAAGTAATATGACTATTAGGCTTTTACGCTCCGTGTAAAAATTTGAACTCAATCACTTGACATTGTTTTGTTATAGAGAACGTCAAATAAATTTACCAATACGCAAAAAGAACGCCACCCAGAGGTTTTAATTACCACCTCCAAAAAGCCTACCTATTAACATCGAAAGAGAAATTATGATAACTGTGAAAACTACAATTTGTTTGGTGACAAACCTTTTTCCAGCAAACATGACATCAAAAGCTTCATTTATCTTATCCAGAGGCATCGTGTGAGTTATGAGCTTCTCAAGACTTAATTTTCCATCCATGTACTCTTGCGATAGTTTAGGGATAATTTCGCGTGCAACACATCCTTGCAAACAAAACAAACAAACAAAAAAAGATAGAAAGGTAAAAACCTTTTATTAGCCGAGTTCGAGGTTTGTATTGGAAGAGGGTCCAGAAGGCGGGGTAAAATGGGAACTGGGATTTGCCTTTTTCTGTACTGGGAAAATGAGATTTACTGCACTGGGGCTGGGATTTAACCACTGGGAAAGTGATAAACAATTTCACTGTAAAATTGTAATGGGATTTCCCTCCTTTCACGATCTTCGACTATATTATTTGACGCAACTGCTCAAATGTGCCTACTTTTTAACTTAAAATAAATAATATTCTGTACCAGTGACCTGCGGCAGTAAGTATGATCGAGTCAGTCTGTTTTTCTTTTTTATCGGCCTTCGCGTTGCAATGCAACGCTGCAACTCCGTTATCATGAAGCTGGTATGGTCAGTTCAGCGGTTTGTTGTAGGGGGAATTACATGTGCATGTTTGCGCGTGACATAGTTCAAACGGCGTGGAATTGAAGCTAATTGACGATTCTGCCGCAAAAAGAGGATTTGCTGATTAAGCAGCAGAAATGTTTCGTGTGGACCAGGTTACCCCAAACGCTGTTAGTATTGCTGACTATTGAGGAACAGATGGAAATATTCAGACGAAGTGAATCGCTTTCTTTGTTCATCCGGGTAATCCAGCGAGTGCCATTCTTTCAAAAAGTAACCATAAACAACGCCTTTAGTAAAAGTTCATCGCGTTCAACCTCAGGCTCCATTAGTTGGGACACCCTTACCCGGACCGGCAACGCAGTCAATAACTTACGCTGGTAAAAAACACAAAATGTAAACAAAGACCGTTAGAAAAAAAAGTTGGAGTGAGTTGCTTCTAACTTATGAGAAACTCAAGGGGTTCTCGAAAAAACAGACGATGTGAGATTGGCAGACAATGGTAAAAGCATGAGATGCTTGCTTTACGGTAAAACAACCAAAATAAACAAAAGCAAGAAGTCAAACAGAGGCCATCTAAAGTATTTCAGGTGTGTGCATGTGTGCTCTGCACGGGTCGGTACAGAAGCTGTAAATACAAAGACAAGGAGGATTGACGAGTTTTATCAAAACCGGATGGTCCAGTGGTGAAAGTTAAGATGACAGAAGTGGTGTTAATATTGTTATGCCAACAAGGGGTGGAAGAGAAAGAATGTTCACCAGCAGAATGAGAGATTTTCTTCAGTCCAGGTGAAGATGCGTGATCCAAACAGCATCATCAATCAGTGCCGTTTTACTTCATTATGCGGTTCAGTTCGCAAATTAAAATAAACGAGCCCTGGAAATGGGATTTCAGATTTAGTGACTGGGATTTAAACCAGTTGGCTGAGAACTGGGACTTGGAGTCTCTTCCTCGAATCTACAGGTCTCCACTGTCTTACGATGTCATTCAAAACAAAGTGATTATAATTAATGTTGATTCATACCTCCAAAGAGTGATCCTATTATATTCTTTCCCATCAGCAAATGATCAGGATTTACTGACAGTTGTTCTTGTGCCACGCCCACTATAACAGTTGTTCCCCAACCAACATGACTTGACTCAAATGCAGCGCGCTAGAAATCCAGAGAATATTTAGTGAGCAACATGTTAGCTTATAGTGGGAGCGAAGGGTGGGGTGTAAGGAAAATCTAACCCCAATATCCTTACCACGATTAATACACTTTCAGTCTTAAATTACCAAAATTCCTCTGCTTTTTACTATGGTCTCCTAGATTGTAATTAATTGATTCTAATCCTTAATTTTTCTTGTGACTAAAGTTTACCTAGACCGGAGCAGTCTCTTACTTTTCTTTTTAGATTCGGTGGTGTAACACGTAAGTGGCGATAGACAAATGGCGCAAGACGCGAGAAACGACGCCCTCGTTTCTCGCTACTCGCGGCTTTGCCGCTAGGGCCGTGTTACATAAAGCCCCACTATCTATACCCCTTAAAAGAGGATAAGACTTCTCCCAGTCTAAAAAGAACATAATGTTCGAGAAATATGCGTTAACTGTTACAAACAGATCATAGACGCATCTTTTTCCTCTCTAGTACCACGATGACTATGGAGGTAGACTTGTGCGCTTCATGAGCAAATATTGGAAAGCCATTATCTAATCTCTGACTAGATGAATAAATACAATGTTTTTAACCTTCGTACAACTTTCGAAGACAACTTCTACGTATTAGAAGACAACTATGGAGACGAAATAACACTAACACTCCTTCAGTCATTTCTGTTAAGACCTACGGAATCAAAAGTTCAAAAGTTAGAAAGAGCTTATGCATGTATATATGACATTGTGATCGGGAAACCTATGTACACTAAGTAAATCATTGGAATATCAGTTCTCAGTCGCCGGGCTGTGTTCAGTATCCTGCTGGGCCGTTTCTTGCTCAGTTGGTGCGGCGTCAAGAGCCAAGTGAGTCTGGGGATGAATAGGTTAGAAAAATAGACCATTTTCACAGTAGTGTGCTTAGTGCCCTGGCCTTTGAATAGGAAAGGGGCTGTAGGCGTCCCTTTCAGTTTTGTTACAAATCAGCAAATGTTCACGGGTCTGTTAGCATGAGAATAAAATAAAGACGATTTTGTTCCCTGGATCCTAGGTAGGTGAGGTAACCCGCTTAAGTGGGGTGACCCACCTGTCTATATAATCTTTAATTTTAATTTAATCACGTTTGTATCGTAGGTGGGGTGACCTTACAAGAGATTATATGGACAGGCGGATTCCCCACCTAATTGGGTTACCTCACCTACCTGGGGTTCCCCACCTCTACGTAAGCAGGCTCTTAGTCGGCGCAGCCTTCGAACAAGGAGCAAGGAGGCCTTCGCGGGCTGTGAAGTATATACAGTAGGCTCCGGGGACAAGAATTGTTCTCTCTCAGCAATAATATCGGTTCCCATAGTGCCTGGACGTTTTTTAGGTCAATAGGCTATAGCTGGGACGCGAACTCAAGTGTAAATTGTGTAATGTTTTGAAGTGCTGAGAAGTAAGAAACTCTATAAATCCTTCGGAACAGCGCGTTGTAGAAAGGAAAATGGGATAAACCAGAAATTAAAGAAATTGATGGTCTTGAATTCGGCGAGGTTTGAACTCGCGACCTCTAGATAGGATCTACCAGCGCTCTACCAATTGAGAATTTAGGTATTCATGTATTACTAGGTATTTATACTGAGTCACTGCAGTAGAGATTCACTTTGTGAATTACGTAGAAGCATGTGCTGGAGACTATTTGCTTTCATCCAGGTTGTTTTACTCGGCTCTCTCGTCTACCAACTCTTCTTAGTAGAGACCTTTATATTAAAGGGCGAGGAGGGTTTAACTTTAGAATGAATGACGACTATAACGTTTCCCGCAAAATGACCTTAGTATTGAGAAAATCTCGTCCTCATAAACGCCCTCGTCTTAAGGGGCTGTTAACAAGGGGGGGAGGAAAATGCTAGAACACGGAACAACTTTTCGTTGGCTTTACATACAGAAATTTCGGTCTGTGTTGTAAACAGCAGAGACAAAATTTAAGATTAGAGATTATCCACTGAACGATCCTCTGCCGTTTTTGTGTGGTTTGTCCCTAGCATTAGGATCTTCATAGCGCGGAAGGGCTGGCAGTTTACATGGTGCTAAGACCTTTCTAGTACTAGCTAGGATCGTCCTACCTCTCATCTTGGATCCTAGCGCTAGCGATAAGTAAAACGCTTTGCCTGTAGACTGAATACAGATGAAACATATGGCCCCAGGATGATCCGCCTTCTTGGATCTTCCTGGTGCTTGGAGCTTGCTCCCTTCATGTGAGCAACCCCTTAGAATCAAAGGCTCTTTAGCTAGTAAGTATTATGATTTATAAAACAATAAAACCAGGTTAAAACAAACCTGCTGGATAGGTTTATCATAATCTTTAGGGTTCATACACTCAGTGCAGCCCAACTCTTTTGCTGGAAGAAAATAGTTACAAACAAACCCTGTTAATACGGACAATGAGGGGGCCATAGAAAGTGGCTGTATTGACGGGGTGTCAGTAGTTTAATACGCTTAAAAGCGGGTTGATTTTAGAAAAAATGCAAGGGCTTTCTCTCCCCAGGTACAAAGCAAACTGTCCGTAATAACGAGATGTTTGACTGTACAAAGTGATGTGGCCGGATAAAAACATCGCAAGTAGAGAGGCAGCGGGAAATTGCAAAAATTAGTTTTTTTTGAATTTATATTTCTTCCGTTGGATTAAAATTGAATTTTTAATTCTTTGACTACTTTTGTTTTGTTTCTGTTTTTGGTGTTGTTGTTGTTGTTTCGCTCTCTTTCGTACAAGTAAAATGCAACAAAACCGAAGGCAAAGAAAATAGTTTCAACGGGATCGGAGTCCTTAAACAGCCATGGGTTCTATAACCACTGAGTTAAGGAGGAACTCCCGAGGGGTTGGGCCGAGTCTAAGGGCAAGCTCTCGCGGAATCTCTCGGATGGCTGGAAATCAAGAGAGCTGTGGGTCACGCACTTTCCGCGTGACGCACTTGACACCTCTCCTCTCGCGTTCTCAAATGGTGTGCTTGCTCACGGACAGGCTTTGTCTACGCTATTTAACAGAAATTCATATTGTGAAACGCGTCTTGCATACTTTCTAGGCCGCCTAGCAATCTTGGATGCATCTTGTGCCGTGATCAGTTGTGAAAGAAGATAAATGCTAAGCTCGGTTAATAAATCATAAAGATGTTGTTTTTAAAGTACACCAACCTAAAGGAAATTTATCAGGCTTAATATCAATCCCAATTATCCTTGCGGCACCAGCAGCCTTGCAACCCATCACTGCAGAAAGCCCAACTCCGCCCAGTCCCCACACGGCCACACTAGATCCAGGCTTCACATAGAAAAAGAACAAAAAGAATTCAGAGCTCTTAAAAATGAGGTGCAACCATCACCAGGGGTCAATTTAATAAAACTTTTACAAGTTAAATTTACAAATGTAGCTATTGTTTTCTGACTCTAAAACAATGGCTACACTTGTAAAAGTTTTATTAAATTGACCCTAGGCCAGCTACATCACCTTAGCGGTTTGGTAACAGGCAACCCAACCGTTGTGTAAGAGTTTGTACGGGAAATAAAACTGACCATTCAAAAATATTTTTAAACCGAGAAAAATTCCTAAGTAAAGTGTAGGTAAAATGTTGTTTGTGTTGTTTCTGCCTTTCTACAGACTTCAGCACGATTTGAGTGAGAGAAAAAGAGTCTTCGTAGCTGGCCAACGTTAACAAGGTTATTATGTTATCTCTGGGCATTGAGCAGGCTGTTTACAAGTCATGGTCATCTATCTGGAAACGGGTGGCAATAGTCGTCGTATCGTAGTAGCATGTAACACCACTTTTTACCCTTAAAGGTCTCACTTGAAGCTTTGCGAGGCGAAATAAAGAAAGCAAAAGAAGAAAGAAAGAATCAATCACAACGTCATTATTATCGGAATTAAAATAACTATAGCTCTTATTTGGCTGTCCGCCCCACCCATTTTTGAGGGAAAAGCCCTGGGGACGAGGTTGGTATATGGGTAAAATCAAGCTTGAACCACGCCCAGATTGGTTTAATTTAGGGGTTTAATTCCACTTTTCTGAAAAGGCACTCCCGCCCCTCGCCTGCAAACGCAGACTTATTTCCGGTTGGCGCTTCTCTCCACCCGAAAAGGGTCGAGGGAAGCGACGACTGGAAATACGCACGCGTTTTCGCAGGTTATCCTGCCCCTTTCACATCACTTCCGCACATCGATCAGTGTTACATTAGTATATACGATGTGTGTTGTGTTACCTTCGCGGTGTTCATTGCAGCACCATATCCAGTGGTTACACAACAACCTAGCAGGCAGGCCTTGTCCAGTGGAACATCTTGAGGTATCTTCACGAAGAAAAACACTTGACAATGACGTGGGGTTATGTCTTTGTTTGTTAAAAAGGTATAGCTATCATTTGCCGTTGAGAAGTGCCAAGCAATGATGCTTTAAATTGTTGTGAGCTACCTTGGCAATGGCCCGATTTCAATATCACATGACCCTTCTAACGATGGGGAAGGCTCGTTTTCGTTTTGGATAGGACAAAATAAAATTGGCGTTTGCAGAGGCTTCAAAACAGTTTTCGAGCGATTCAAAAAGTCATGCGATGTTGAAAATAGGCCATTAAACAGTCAAACCGCGTTAATACGGAAGAGGTCATAGAAAGTGTCCGTATTAACGGGGTGTCTGCCTGAAAAAGGTCACCCTTTTTATACAAACAAATAAAAGAGGACATGAGCATCGTCAAATGAAACATCATTCTCTAACCTTCACAAACCCGTCATTCCGCGGCCAAATCCATGGAAACACTCAAAAATTGCTCGTCTATATACTGTATTACTTAATCAAAACATTTCTCTGTATGACTTGTTTGATGCATGCCAAAGTAGTCTGAAATTGACGCCGTCTACGAATCATCCGCTGTACTGTAGCGCTTGGGACATGGACATGCTGTCAACTGAAGGTTTTTATCACCTTCAAAAAGGAAAGGTCTATTACAGCGCACACCTGACAATGAAGTATCCGCATTAGCAAGGTTGACTTTCGATGAGAATCTGTTGATTGGGCATGAAACAAGTGTCCGTTGCCCGCATTAATGGGTGTCCGTATTAAGCGGGTGTCTGTAAACCGGCCGGGTTTGACTGTAGTGTTCTTTTGAAACAGGTCAAACCTTACACAGGTTGACTAGTCCCCGCACCTACCTTCACAACAAGTAGTTCAGGAACGACGATGTACTCACTGAAGGTTCCCAGCCTGGTCACTTGCTTTATACTCTTTCCTTTGCATGTCATCCGTGTTGTTCCATCAAGCAATACGGCTTTATCAAGCGCGAAACTGTTGTAGAACATTGGACAAAATCAACGTTAATTCCACATAAAAGTTTAAATTCAATTTGTGTGGAGGGAAGGAAAAAGAAAAGAAACTAAAGCAGAAGGGAACGGAGGAAGGAAGAAGGATGGAAGGAAGGTGAAAATAAGGTTATACGGATTGTGTTTAGGTTGCAAACATTTTATTTAAATTTACCTGCTGCACAGATTGGTCAAAGGATTCTGGCAAAGCTTGCATTCTCCACAATTAAGGACCCAGGTTAGTACAACATGGTCTCCTAAAGACAACGCAAAATAAGTGATATGTACGGAGCTTGTATCCTCTCTCAGGGTAAGGCTTAATATCCTTAATAAAAATAAAATATTTGTTAAAATGCACGCCGAAAAGTTGGGAAAAGACGAACGTTTTGAGTGTAACTTCCTCTTCTTTTCTCAAAGCAGTTGCTTGATGGAACGCCCTCGAAACGTCGGTTTTTACCGAATTTTTTAGCGCATATTTTAACGAAACCCCTACGAATAGTTGCGCTATGTAATTTCTTGTAAATTTTGTGACACTTAATATCCTCAACCAAACCCTTGAAAAGCAAATGTTGATCGGTCTGTGCTAAACGGAGTAGGACTGGCACTAACGGACCATCACAGAGAGGTTTTGCTTTGTAACTGGAAGATGACTGCAGAATACTAGGTATAGGCGTTCGTTTTAGGGGCATATCCGTCTAAAACACTCATTTCTTTCACGGGAACATATGAACCCACAATTGACCTGCTCCCAACGTCAGTTGCTTCATAGCTCACTTGGTGGAGCATCGCACCGGTAATCGCGAGGTCACGGGTTCAAAACCCCGTTGAAGTCCTGAATTTTTTTCAGGCTTCTTTACGCAATTGCATAAATTGCGTTCACTGCGACGATCATTTCTTCATTTTCATAAAAGACGTTTGTTGTCAAGAGAGAGAGTTAACTGCATGTATTTATTTACCTGGTTTCACTGTAGTGACTCCTTCCCCAACGCTTTCTACAACGCCACTTCCTTCATGCCCCAGTACAACTGGAAAGAAATCTCCTTTGTTTCCGCTCGCCAAGGTGCTGTCTGAATGACAGACACCTGTGTTGATCATCTTGATTCGCACCTCACTCGCTTTAGGTGGCGCAACCTCAACTGTTTCTATGACAGCGGGCTTGGCAGCCTCCCAGGTTACTGCGGCTCGGCAAGATATCGACTGTCAATAACAACATAACAATTGTAGCAGGAGCATCAGGAATTCCTTCCTTCCCCTTCCCCTCCCCCCTATTTCATTTTCTGGTTCTCGTTTCATTTCTCGCGCGGTCAAAACCGAAAATCCCCTTCCACTGTCTTTTTTATTCCGAAACCAACCAGAAACGCTTGCTACCTAGGCTAGTTTTACTGAAGAACCATATAATATAAAAACCGCGATGGCAATATCCTTTATTTCCACGACGACGCAAATGGCCGTTTGAAAATTGTAATACAAATCGCATGGCAAATGTCACGCTTTTTAACGCAGAATATTTTGGGAGCCTTCACGTACTCGAATGACCTTTACACAGAATTAAGAATTGCATCCCTACTGTAACGCAAACCTCTTTTAGAAACGGAATATTTTTGGAGAAAAAGGCAATAAAACTTAATTCTCTCTTAACAATTCAAAAGTTGCCCTACTAAATTAACAGTCGCCCCCTGTAAAGGAATCCGGATTCCGGAATCCGGGAAATTTTTGCTTGTGGAATCCGGAATCTTGGAAATTTTGCTTGTGGAATCCGGAATCCTGGGCCTTGGAATCCGGAATACAGGTGTAGGAATCCGGAATCCCACTAACAATTCGAATCCGGAATCCAAGTTCCACTGAAAAAGATCTGGAATCCAGTAATTGGAATCCGGAATCCACGGCGTGGAATCCAGAATCCAGGAGTGTCTTGGATTCCCTTACATGGGGCGATAACAGCGCGCTTAAAAGAGTGCGCTATGAGTGAAAAACAAGAGATGGCTTACTCGAGATCCGGATCATGTATCCTTTCATAGCAAGAATAAGTAAAATAACTGTGAGGTAAATCGAAGATCGAGTGCCGCAAATAATAAAGATAAAAAATAAATAAATAAATAAATAAATAAATAACGATTAAGTTGTAGCACTCCTTGTCTATGATTCCGGACCGAATTGGAATAAAGAAAAGTTGGTTTGTCAGGAGAGGTGGGTACTTGTGCCATGTTAGTGGAAGGCGAACGTTCTCTTACAAGCACTAAGCCACCCTAATTCCCACAGTGACCACAGTGTCTTTAAGACACATTTGTATTGCTTTCTTTGGTGGAATGATAACTTGACGAACTCTATCACGCCGGGTCCGGCTTCAAAACTACAAGTAGCTGTAATGTCCCGAGTAACGTGTTGTTTTAAAAAGCTAGAGTACCCGTCGCGTACGAGGCGCGTCCTTTCTGTCCTCGATGATCATTGTTTTGCAAAAAGTTCGTCTGCATGGGCGTCACATAGCCTCCCACGGGTACAGTTTGGATCAGAAAATAGCAGCGCTTCTGTTTTCAATCCTGTTGATTCTCGCGGGACAAAATATATACTGCAGTTTCTTTGTGAAAAACAGAGAAGAAGAAGTGCGTGTGCTTGAGTTAATTCTCGGGTGGCAGGCAAGTGAATACGGCTTCTATCCTGCTATCTGCTGAAAGTAGTTGGTTTTTTCGGTGCTTTGCGATTTCGCACAAAATTGCTAATACTGCAATATATTTGAATCTGAGAAACTATCAGCTCGCCAGTGCGTGTATAAAGTTATAAGACTTACCTTTCATTCTGTCTCCGACATTCTAGGAGAGGCGATCATTGACATCTGAAGAAAGTGAATTGTAACGGATCGTAACGCGATGCTGAAGGCAATGCTACCTACCTTGTGGCGACCAGCGTCCAGAGGCAGCCGTTACGGGTGTCTGCATAAGTCTGTATAACTAGGAACAGGCCCGGAACACCCCCCGACAGCCCGGATCTCCTCGGAATACCTTTCAATACAAGAATCAGACAAAGAAAAATCTCAAACACCAAAAGAATGAAAATATCATCAATGAATCAACATGTTGTAACTAAAGAAAAAATAAATTGGGCCTGAGATTGACGAACTCATGCTGTTTATACACTGCAGTGGCAGTTGGACGACTACTTAACGGAGTTGTGTCACGAAATTTATCAAAATTCAATCAGTGCACACGTTGGACCTGCCACCAAACTAAGTGAAAGATAAATGATTACCGCTCAAAACCTTACAGAGATGTAACTGATCACAGTTAATACAAATGGACGCGCGGATGAACAAAAATGGAGATGATTTTCAGTTCTTTTTTGCAACCTCATTCCCCGCTCCGTAGGGACGAGTAGGAGTGAACCCTGGCAACGAGGTTGTTTTTTTTTTTGTTCTTTGTAACGTTTGAAATAATGCTTTCTTGTGTGACATGAAGCTGTGATTTTGTTGTTCAGACACTCAATGTTCCTAGCGAATAAGAGCGTGTAGTTAGTATTTGACGCCCAATTTAATGTCGTGGTTTTGAGTAAAGTAGTTTAGCGTCTGTTCTTTTTCTTTTTTTCATGTTGGTGGTAATATATGGCTGTGGGTGTTTTGCTCACTGCGTCACGATGCAGAGGGTCCTGAAGGGGTAAAATGGGAACTGGGATTGACCGGTTTTTGCCCTGGGGAAATGGAATTTAAGCCACTAGGACTAGGATTTGGTCACTGGGAATGGGAATAAAATGTCAAAAATGGGAATGGGATAAAAAGTTTGGAACCATGACCAGTCAAGGCATCACTTATTTCCTGGAGTTAAGAAACGTCAGAAAATTGCTAATGCACCTTGTTCTAGTCAATTTTAAGCATTTTTTTCTAGGTTTCCCCCGAATGGCCCCGATTTGCGGTCAACAATATTGTGTACAGCGGTGCGTGTAAAACCAAAAGTCTACATGGCATGGATCCATGGCATGTGTATTTGTATAATACAAACAACATGGCGGGAGCTATGGCGGGAGCAGAATTGACGACTCGCACTGTTGTCGTAGAAATTAAGTACTTTTGTACTAAAATGTAGTTATACACACAAAGAACTGCAAATTGAATTTACCGCTGGATTGTTCAACAACTCAGATGGAGAAATATATACGAAGAATGTGTAGCCTGCGTAGCTGGCGGTATTGTGTGGGTGCGAGATAAAAGTTTTGGCGGCAGAGCCGTGTTCCAAAAAAAGGGATTAGGCACGAGGCGTGGCATAGATGAATCGAGTAGACGAAGGGGATTTAGGAATGGCAGGAATGTGAAGTGGCTGGGACTAATCGCTATAAACTAAAATGATTCTGTTATCTTCAAAACATCTTTGTAAATCCTTGTGAATTTTTGGGTCTTTGTTGGGTCGTATTTAGAAGCCGTAATTTTGCGCATGCGAAGCGAAAAGAGGTGGTATGTATAACACTGGGATTTTTTTCCAAATTCTGCTAGTGGGAATGGGATTTGAGCACTGGGAAGTGGGATTTCGAAAAAAAAATGGGCTGGGAAATGGGACTGGTACCCCCCCTTCAGGACCCTCGATGTAGCCTCTCTACATCATCTTTGATATTTGGCTAATGGGTTCGGTACCATCGAGGCCCTCACACGGGACAAAATCTGTTCGTTTTGCTACCCTTTTTTGACAACAGACCTTTCTTCGTGCCCCTGATTCAAGTTCCCAAACTCATTAATAATTCATATAGAAAATTCAAAGAAAATTAATGCTCTTTGGAAATCAGATGAAAAACTGCTCATCTTTGCAGCTTTTATAATTTCTCCTTTTAAAATCACATTTGTTTGAGAAGTAATATCAAGCATTCCACACAGTGTTTCATTACCAGATGACCGGATGAAACACCTCAAAGTTCGTCGAAAATACTCCGCTGCGCGTCGCATATTTTCAAAGGATTTTTTAAGTGCGAATTGACTTGCAATCTCCAAGATCTGATAATGAAACACTGCGTCACATGCTTGATACAGCTGATTCGAGAAAGGTTGTCGGAAAAAGTGCACGCGACAATCCCGAAAGGTATTGTGGGTGGTTTTGTCTGCCCTGGTCTCCGAAGAAATTTGAAAGAATGGCACGAGAGGCCACGGACATATGTTGGCGAGTGCTAATGGAAAGCAACAAAATTAGGTTCGACAGCCACAGTCGTTAGGAACAGTGTATTGATCATATCCCATATTACCTTTCGGGGTTGTCGCGTGCACATTTTGCCCGCAACCTCTCTCGAAATAGCTGTATATTACTTCAAGGCATTCAATACAACAGGCTGCAAGTCCAATTAAATCAACCTGTCTAAGCATGCCCTGTTGGGCGGCACATATAACCGTTTAGGACTTATGTGGTCGTACCACCCCTCGAGCCTACCGTACAACTAGAAATCTAAAACTCTCCAATTTTTTTTAAAAGGCAAATTTCAGAACTTATTTCTTTGTTTCTTTCTTTATGATCCTCAAAAAAATTCAAATATCATTCAGATGGAGTCTGGGCGACCAGTGACTGCATGCAGCTGCATAGTTACGTAGAACACATTAAATCAGATAGTGGACATTTAGACCGAATATACTGAAAATCCTACGTAAGACAGTCTAACGGAGGGGTGGGGGTGGGCGGGGGGTTTCCGACCTTTTAGGGGAGTGCTCCGGGTACACGTTGCGCATTTTAGGTCAGCTTTGGTCTTATTCTCCTTTCTGTCTTATCTATCTAGCCCTTAGTCACAACCCTACCTTCTTAACCGGTCTTTTCATGAGCTTCTGGTCCTATGTTTTCTATTTATTTGCTTTTTGTTCTCTCTTTCTCTACTTCATTTTTATGTATCTATTATCGCTATTATCAATCTCTACGTTAGTTTAACTACCAAGAAACACTCTCTAGTACTGTAGAAAGTGTGTAAAATCCCGATGATCAGGTGAACGCCGAGGAGAAAACAAAGACGAAAGACAGACTCCATGCTTAATAGCGTAACAATGTAATAAGGATTCTTAAAGTATTTGCACAGAGCACTCATAACATTGTAAAAGCGCGATGCCCATACTACAGACAATAAAGTGCTGCACAAAACCGAGTAGAAAAAGATAATATTTGGAAAGGTAATATATTAAAATATAAACAGCGTCAAAACGCTGAGAAGCACAAACAATAGACCTTTGTCACGTGGCGGCCATTTTGTCTCAAGAGATTTAAAAAGCTTTGTTTATGTCCGGCTAGCCTCGTTCTCTCTACGAGGCTAGCCGCCATAAATAAAGCTTTTTTAATCTCTTGAGACAAAATGGCCGCCACATGACAAAGGTCTATACTAAAACGCTCGTAGCATCGTAACAACGGTGACCGCTTAATTCAGTGATTCGAGGTGAGAGATACTTCTCTTCGGAATAATTACTCCTACTGTATGAATAGTTTGAAACAAGTATTTACTTTTTTTATCCTATTTTAAGTTATCTTCAGAATAAATTAACGAATCAATAATAAGTTATGCATACAGTAGTTATTGTAGTCGTGCAAATAAAGCTTGTTGTTGTTGGTAAAGATAACGATGAAAGACAAACTTAGGACGGCTGCAGAGTGGCCTCAGCCGCCTTTAAAGTACATGTAGCAAATACGGACAGTGTTGTATGAGCTAAAAAATTGGGACTCTTTCGTAGCTTGATAAAGGGACGTTTATTCAGGTTCCACCGCATATAATTCGCCACTTAAGAAACGATAAGGGGACTGGTGCCGAAATGTGTCGAGCAATAGGCAATTTCCGAGTTCCCCCGGGCCTCTGCATCAAAACAAGGTTAAGTGCTCAGTGCTTGATACGCAAATGATTTTTCACTCTCATGCAAATTTTCACAAGAAAGGTTGTGCACTTGGCCTCATTTTGAAAGTGAGGATTTTGGAACTCGGAAGTTGCCTATTGCCTCTGGGATCGATACTGGGGACGCGCTGGTCGGCTATTGGCCAATTTTTTCCCCTGTTCTTAATAACTGCCCCAGAAGTCTTTGCGAAAGTTAACCGGGCCCAGTTTTTTCTTTTCGTCTCTAGAGTGGCGATAGCTCATTCACCACGCGCTCACCAAAAGATTGCCAAGCTGTGATGGCATTTTAGAGGTTAAGGGTCTCGTGATCATCAGATTTCATCTTAAAATTCGTCTGCTTTCCATAACAAGCTTTCATACGGTTGTTCTGCCTCGGACGAAAGAAGCTGCAACAGATAAAAACAACAACCGTTATCTAGTCTACAACGTAAAAGAAAACTTCGACATTTTTAACACAAAGTAAAATAGTGCTCACCGGATATCACTGGTTGCCATTCTTTAGAAGTTAACAACGGCTCGAATGCTGCAAAAGAGAACCGAGACGATCACATAAAATCAGAAAAACAAAACAAAACAAAAATGAACACACCCTGGAACTTGAATTGACTTACTACTAGCTTCAGGAGTGAAAATAAATTATTCCCTGACTTCACAATACCGTATTTACCCCAGCGCACGCAAACTGCTCCTCACGTTTGTGACTTTGTTTTTACAACCCCATCCTTGCAGGGTTAGTATCTCATGTAAGACTCCATCTCAAAGTCCAATAAAATACTCCTACTCGTGTTTGCTTTAATTATCACTCTTCGGCGTTAGCATATCAGTTTAAACACTCTTCCTTGGTATTACTTGTATACATTACTCCATGGTTTAAGGACATCATATCAAACACTCTTTTAAGTTTCTACTGTTGTAACTTAGAAATCCAAGGACGAAATTATGAAACAACGCGAGCATTGAACATGAACATTCTAGTCTTCTTTTATTCCTAGTTCTCACTCCTGCGCAAGCGCATCCATGTACACATAAAACGAATATGACGTAACTTCGTACAATGTAACACAACAATAACAAAACAAAGTCACGATATAACATCTACTGTATGATCAAACCTTTTCCCAGCATGCATGAGATCAAAAGCTTCACTAATTTTATCCAGTGGCATCGTGTGAGTGATAAACTCATCCACCTTAAGCTTGCCTGCCAAGTAATCTTCCACGAGTTTGGGAACGCTGTCGCAACTCTTCCAACCTGTCATTACAAGTAAATAGTTTTTAGTGTTCCCCAGGGCTTAATACTAGGTCTATTACTGTTTACTGTTTCAATACACGATCCAAGAAGTTATAGCGGATGCTCTACGAGGACGACCCCCAAATGCTCAACACTAGTAAGGCTCCCAAACACTTCGTCGACTTTGTTACAATAACTGCATCGGACTAAAGTCGATTGAAGCTTCTCTCAAGTCTAAATATTGTCTATTAAAAGGATAATCTAACTTCCATGGACTTTCATCAAAATAATCTTGAACTTAAGAAAAAACACAGAATGGAGATGTGAAAGAGATCAAAAGTCAGTTTAAAGTTATTTGAAGGTGTTTTGTCAATCCCATCAGCGTGAGCTAAATGTGTGTTTCCAGCCTGGCTGTGACCTTACTGTCATTATAACAAGTGTCCTTGTTTGTCAATTAGCATCAATGCACACAGATGTATTAACTAAAACATGCACCCAAACCGTTCTGAGTTTTCTTCTTGTTCTTTCGCTTTCAACAAATTGCAGTCTGAATTTCACTGCTCTTTACTCTTACGGATAATAATTTTGTTATATATGCCTTGAAATTTCGGGGTGTAAAGAAAATAGATAAGAGCAAGTCTCTCACAAGGCTCAGCTCTTAAAGATAATGAACTGTCTAGGGGTAATGCACAACTATAACACAGGGCTTTGTTTAGTTATGTTATGGAGACAGTGAGGCACACAGTGACCAGGTAAAAAATACTTGAGATATCCTAATGAGATTTCCTCGCATGAAACATGGCATTTAAATTATATACCTTCGTTTCTCAGACCTTATTATGCTAAACAACAAATTACAATGTAGACCTAAGCATCCCTGAATAATTAGGAAATTAAGGGAGTCAATGAGTAAATTGATAATTTGAACCTCCAAATGCAGTTCCTTTCCAGACTCTTCCAGTCACAAGTTGGAAAGGCCTTGTGGATATCTCCTGTCCCGCTCCAGCAACTCCAATAATGACAGATGTTCCCCATCCTTTGTGACAGGCTTCCAAAGCAGCACGCTTAAAAACAACAGCATCCATGTCAGTATTCTAAGGCAGCAGGGGAAATCATGGTTCTTATATCGCGGCCAAATTTTTCATTTGTCATTTGTAATACACATAAAATTCCTCTTACCCTAAACCATCCTTAGTTGTTACAATACATTATTCCCAAACATATCCATAATAATCAATGGAGGGTACTTCTTGGTCAATAGAGGGGGATTTGTGGGGACACTAAAAATGCCCCACCCCCTAAAAATAAGACTTACAAGAACGATTCTATCTACAAAAACCTGTTTCCAGGATTGCTTACAAAAATAAATAATATTAAACTATGTACCACATTTATAAGACATAAAGTGTGTATGTACATACAGTAGTTCATACCATTGTTTTGACATTTCCAATGCACTCAAATGTATAGTCCAGGCCTCCATCTGTCATTTCTATAAGGACCTTATAGAACAAAACAACCATAATGATATCTACATATGCATTACAGGACATTTANTATACTGTAAAAAATGTTCATGTCTTTATTCCTGTTTTTCTCTATGCTGTTACTATGCTCATTTTTCAGATTAAAAGAATTATTTCAAGTGAAAAATGATTTAACTACGTCATTACTTTTTTTTTGAAAATGCCAAAAATTTGGGTCAGTCGGACGACGCTAAACGGAGAAAGAAAAAGAGGATGGCCTGTCTTCTAACCACAACTGCCTTGCCAGGCAAATTCAATATTTTTGTGCATCAGCTTAGCTCTACTCCAATCAAAAATGCGTTACTGGGCTAATTAAAAAATTTTTGCGCTATCTGTTCTAGGCAAACGACAACTGCCTTACAAGGCAAACTGATTTGACTTTGCAAAGCTTGGAAACTTCAACATAAAAGAAACTTCGACCTAAAAAACAGCATTAAGAACAATTCAGCCTCTATTAAGTGAGAACTTAGGAAAAGTAAGCTACAGCCAAAGTTGTCTGGTTCTCATGAAAAAAAGTTTGACAGATATCTTATATTTTAAATGCATTTCAATTATGCTTTGAAAGTTGATTCTATTACTTGTTTTCGACAACAGCTATTTTATTTGACTGAATTAAATTCAACATCTGAAATTAAACCAAGTCTCTCAGTTGCTACAGTGGTGGTACAGTACAGCAAGCTCTTGCAGCTATTTTTGTCTCGTCACACAACGCTCCTCCTCCTTTGTTGGGGAAGAGTGTTGCGTGACGAGACAAAACACGGCTGCGAGGGAGACTAGCTCAGCACGGAAGCCGTTATTTCATTAATAATAATAATAATAAGAAGAAGAAGAAGAAGAAGAAGAAGAAAATAAATATTATTACTATTATTAACATCAATATTGATAATAATAATTCAAATGAAGATCTGGATCAGCTACTGATTACTGAGCCACAATACCGATTTTGAAATAGCATGCATGTCGTTATTCGGAAATTATTACATTTTGAGTTATTACATTATGCGTTAGAAAAGTTATTACAATTTGCGTTGAAAGATTATTACATTTTGCGTTGAAAATTTTATTACATTTTGCGTTGAAAATTTTATTACATTTTGCGTCAATGTTATTACATTTTGCAGCGTAACAAGCCCCCAAACCAGTAACGCAAAAAACCCTCCGTTAAATTGCCCCTCCAACTATAAGCCCCCCAGGGGATTGTACTTGGAAAATTGCCCTCAAATACAAAGTAAAACAAAGCAAAAATGGCAAATTTCCTTCCAACTATAAGGGTAGCCCAATCAATTTTGAAATGCAAATTTCCCTCCAATAGATAAGCCAAGGGCCTTTGAAAAATATAAGCACCGGGGCTTACTTTCGGAATTTTACAGTATCCTTATTACACTAAATCTCTTTAACATTTCAAACATTAACGTTTAACAAAAAGCAAAAACCAGTCTTCCCAGACCTGCTGAATGGGTTTTTCATGGTCCTTTGGATTGACAAATTCTGTACAGCCAAATTCTTTAGCTGTTAAAAACAAAAGTAAAAAAAAAATGCAATCAAAATTTAATATTAAATGGATTAAAAAAAACAACCAGGCCTTACTTTATGAATACATATGACAGGCCTCATTCAGCTAATCCAAAATGAATTGTATGAATATGATAGAAAGAAATAGTAACCCAGCTGCATAAAATGGTATACCGGTACTATGATAAGTCAGATTCTCAACAAAAAAGGCCAAGAGGTGCTTTGAACAATGATTTAGCAACACTTACCCACAGGGAATTTATCAGGGTTGATATCTATCCCAATAATCCTTGAGGCCCCAGCAGTCTTACAGCCCATTACTGTCGCTAGTCCAACAGCTCCCAGTCCCCAAACAGCAGTTGTAGAACCAGCCTCTACCTGTACAAGACAGAAGCAGTAAGGCCTGGTTCAGATGCTGAACTTTTCATGAGCTGAACCAATACATTGAATTAAGAACATGAAAAGTTTGGCGTCTGCATGAATCAATTATAGGAATGCCTGTTTAAATTTGGAACGGCTCAGCCTTTCTTTTCGCCTAGCCCGGCCAGGAATTTCGCCTTTGGAGTGACTTTGGAACGGCTTTGATTCAAACGCCGAACTTTATATGTACCGAACCTGATGCATAAATTATTATAATTATATAATTATTATATTATTATAAGCATATATTATTGTAAGCAGTTTGACCGAAATAAGCATTTTTCTCCTTTATTTGGATTTAGTTCAGCTGCAATATTAAGATCGGCGTCTGAATCAATTCAGCGTTCTCAATAATTTGGGTCGGCCATAATTCAAATTAGGTTCGGCTTACGAAAAAGTTTGGGGTCTGAATCAGGCCTAACGTCAGCTCTGGTGGGCATACTGTAGGTTAAGCTGCACTTAACCATTAAAAATGTATCAAATCCAGTATTTTGAGGACTGAAATAGTCCAGGTAACCACTTTAATTTGTAACAATTTTCGTATCTATAGTTATTTACATGCAGACAGGGACCGGATAGGACTTATTCAATTATAAATCTGTTCTTTTTTGTAAAATTGGAGAAAAGATATTCATGGAAGACACAGCCTGACTTAAACTGGGAAATATTTTCATATCAGACGTTTAATCCCAACAGCACTTAATACAACCAAAAGAACATGCACAGTTGATGCATTAAAATATTTGCTGGGATCCATTGGAATTATAAGATATCTTGAATCAGTACCTTCGCTGTGTTAAGTGCTGCACCATATCCAGTCGAAATACCACAACCAAGGAGACAAACTTTTTCAAGTGGCGCATTATCATCAACCTGGAATGCAAGTTACGTAACAGTATTTTAAATAAAGAAACAACAGTAAAATGAAGACAATTCTTAAATAACGCAAAAACAATAAAATCAAAGCAATGGCCGAATCGGTTTGTAAAGTGCAATTTCAATGCAAAAGTGAGAAACGCTGTCAGTCAGCTTGAAGGCTATTATTTTGTCAAAAAAAAAATGCAGTGACACTCACAAAGTCTCGAAAATTATTATAGCTACATTATACCAAATAAATAAAATTATTGATGTAAGAAAAACGTCACAACCATTACCTTGCAAACTGAAATCTCAGCAACAACAGTGTACTCACTGAATGTGCTTGTACCCATAAAATGATACACAGTTTGACCCTTGCATGTGAATCGTGAAGTTCCATCAGGCATTACTCCTTGACCTTGAGTTGATCTGTAATAAGGACAAGTAAATGTAGATGTATTTATGACTTTTCTAAACTCAAAATTCAAGAAAACCCCATACACAGGCACCCCATTCCCCTTCCCTCCCATTATAATATTTTTATAGAACATAATCATGATAACACACTCTTCCCACTGAGGCTATTGGCACTGGATGAATGTTCAACCGGTAGAAAATTCATGCATTTACATGTAGTTGTCCCGTTCACATGGAACCACCTTAACCCAACAAAAAGTTAGATGCCTAGCCATTCAAAGTTCCACGTGAACAGAGCCCAAATATTTAATGGTCCTGTGTGAACTACCTGTCCAGTTAAACTTTTAAACTAGTCGAAAGTCTACCCGGTACCATGTGAATTTATAAAATAACTAAGATAGTACACGCGCTCTGATTGGCTGAGAGAAGTGTTTGCATGAGAGTATGTAAACATGGTTGTGGCGTCAAGTTGTTTGGCTTTTCGTGCACTAATCACGCAAGCACGAATTTGAAAAAGTTTTCGAGTTCAAAACTCGACAAGTTTACTTTATTTACCCATTCCTTCGTCGGCTGAAACATGGAAAATCGTTACAAAGAAGGTGAGTCAATTTTTCTTTGCTTAAGCCGGCATTTTAAACATAAAAATCCGTATTTTGCAAAGCATCTTTTTGCAAAACAAGAACTGATTACGCATGCAAGACTTCGTGGACAAGATTTTGCGACTGGTAAGAATTTCTCTTTTAATCAGTGCCATACATAAAGTTTTGCGTTTTTTCTCGTGAAAGTTATTTTATAAAAGCAATAGAAAACTTTTTCCTGTGTTTGCATAGCCTGATATAAACACTCAAGGCGTTGGGAAAATTCTTGATGGTTATGCAAACCCTCGACTTCGTCTCGGGTTTGCATAACTGTCTCGAATTCTCCCAACCCCTCTCGTGTTTATATCAGGCTATGCAAACACAGAAAACGTTTTCTATTGCTTAAATAATGTAGCATTAGCCTGAGTCTGCAGACAATTGATATACACATGTAAAATAAAAATGGTATTTACCTTATTGTACTGCAAAGGTTGGTCTTGGGGCTTTTACAAAACTTGCATTCTCCACATTGAGGGATATAAAGTGGAATAACATGGTCACCTGCCAAAAAAATGGCATCATGAAATGTCCTTATAACTAGCACTCTTGACTCAGCTTGCCTGCTACATCACAGATGCAATCTAGCCCCAGTCAGTGATGTCTATAAATCAGTGCCAAGATCCTTGCTCTGACCCCTCCCCCCCCACCCCTCTTCAGTCTTCAGACCCAATAAAATGACTACAAGTGCATTTAGAATTTCCTTTCAACCTGAATGACAAATTGACTACAGGCCAATCATAGTGCATACTCAAATCCTAGCAAACTGCTAGGGGCAGCTGAAAAATTAGCCCGTCATCTCAAAAAGTGATTGTAGATCTCTTACAGGAGGTGGCCATTTATGAGAGGTTCCAGCTATAAGGTTTTGACTGGCAAAGTTTTGGTGTTTTCAAGAACTGGTCGCTACCACTACTGGGCAGGTAATGTAAACACTGAAGTATTACAAGAGTAATATACAAGATTAATGATCTACATGGGAGATTTTCTGTTCTTCTCATCATAGTCTTCATCATCATCATCATTATTGTCATGTAGAACATTTTTACTTTTTCTTTAATAATATTGATAGCTAATTTACACTTAGATTTAATCCTATATAGCAACCATCATCACCTCTTAGCCACCCATATTGGCAAAATGATCCTTACTCTGAAAGACAATTATTTTGATCTCTGATTTGTGCAGGGTGGCAAAGGGTGTTAAAACAAGCTGAAATGAGAGTGATTTCATGGAATGGTCTAGCTACATGCACACAGCAAAACAGTGAAGAGGAAAATCTGGTCTTTCTCTGTACGCACATTAAGGTTTGACTGTACTCAAATACAATTTCAAGAGATGAATCAAACTTTGCACAGGACTTACCAGGTTTAACTCTTGTTACTCCTTCTCCTACACTTTCAACAGTGCCGCCTCCTTCATGTCCAAGAATAACAGGAAACTTTCCCTCAGAGTCATTGCCACTAAGAGTGTGACTGTCTGTGTGACAGACACCAGTAGCGATAATCTTGATGCGTACCTCACCAGCTTTGGGTGGTGCCACTTCAACTGTTTCTATCGTAAGTGGTTTACCAGCTTCCCAGGCTACTGCCGCACGGCAGGATATGGGCTGCAATTAACAAGAGGGAAGGGGAGGATAGATGTTAATAATCTCTCATGTAGCCTACAGATTTTAGATCTCCAGAGGTTGGCATCTCTGGATATCAATGGTATGGTTGCACGAAGCATGCAGCACATCACCCAAATTTGCCAGAGCCCTCCAGGATACAAGACCTAGTGTACCCATATCTATACAAGACCCTTCTTTGATAGACATGAACATATACTCAAAATGGGTCCGGCAATGTTCACTGTTTTTTTCCCAGGAATGAAGAATACACGTAATGCTCTAAATTGCGCTTAATGTCCTTAATGCCAAAATAATAAAGCTAGATGAATCTGAAAAATCCAGGCTGACGTTGAGCTATATGGAAAAATGCAAGATGTCAGATAGAAAATGCGAGATGTGACATAAAAAATCAGAAATTCAAGATAGAAAATAGACGCGAGACATATTTACAAGATGCAATATCAAAAATCCAAAATCTGACATAAAAATGTTTTACATGGCATCTGGCATCTCCATTTTAATCTTGTATCGCGCATATTCCAAGTCTCACATTTTACATCTCGCATCTTGTATTTTTTACTCGCGCATTTCTCAAGACAACCGGGGACGAGTCAGCCGTGCATCTCGCATGTTATATCTCACACCTTGCATTTTTTTAACCTTGTATCTCACATTTTTTAATTCCATTCTTTTGCATTTTTTACTTCTCATCTCATATTTTTTATGCCACAACATAATGTGACATATGTCTATGTCTATGACATATGTATGACATATGTCATAGACATTTTCATAGACACATATGACATATGACACATGACATATGAAATATGACACATATAATGACATATGACACATGTGTCATATTTTATATGACACATATGTCATAGACATTTTCATAGACATATGTCATATGTCTACGTCCCGGTCCCCCCCCCCCCCCCCCCCC